CAGTTGCTCTAGCGAGAGTAGTATCGTCTGGCTCTAGAAGCAAGCGTTCCCTAATTCGTTTCATAGACGTGAACGTAATAAAATGTCCTCGGATGATTTCATCTGTCAAATCACCATATTCACAGTATTTAGCCAGTTCTTTCAAGGCAGTAATAAATTCAATTATTTTCTCACCTGGACGTTGAACTCTTTCTTGAAATGTATTTCGAGACATAATGACCGACTTTCGTTTTCCAAAACGAGCTTTGAGGGCATCGAGTGCATTTGTGTACGTATCTGTGTTGGCCAAAGTTCTAAATATTCGTTGTCCTTCATCACCCAAACAATGAAACAATATTGCTTTTCTTCTGTCATCGGAGACATCTTCGCCGTCTAAGGCATTAGCAATTAGATAATTCTTGAAACCCTCTATCCATCTTTGATACGGAATCGGTGGATCGCCGGGTGAAGCGAGAAAAGGTGAAGGAGGAGGCAACGAACCTACTAAATTACCAGCCATTCTTCTTCAGGTTCATCCTCGTCGCCAATTTGTTGTGTTTGCGATGGCCATAAAGATGCATAGTTGATTAAAACTTAAATTTATTATACATGAAATTCTTACAACAATGGCGGTCAGCCCGCCGACCTACTACAAAGTGAATGACGTCATGTGACCTCGTGCAAAGCAAGCAACCAGAAGCGTATATACTGTTTCGGCGTCACATACGTTCGAACCTAGACACAACACAAAAAATATCAATGGAAAACTTAAATAGAAATTTACATACTGTGAAATTCTTATTTATTTAAGATGGACCAAATTTCAGTGGCAAAATTTACAACTTTGCAGCCAAAAATACAAATAATACTTCAGGGAACACAATTAGAATCTACAAATTTAGGCTATTTCTAAGGGCCAATTCATGAATTGTGATGTCCTCAATGATAAATAATAATTTCACAATAGGCATACACCTCTGATAGTATAGTGTCAGAGATATATTTTGTTTTACATATATGTACGTACATATTCTATGAAGATAGATAATTACTAATTACAGTTATATTACGATTTCTTTTCTATGTTTCTTGCTTTTTTGCTGATATCCTACGTCTTCATTTTGATCTAACAAATTCTACATCAGTCCCGTTCTAATTTTTACATGGTGATATTGTCATTATTGATAATAAACAGTATATTTAATACGACATTATTTGATATGTATGATACATAATTCATTATGATAATTATCCTGAGATCTTTTGGCCCCTTTTCATACAATAAAATCTACATATGTAACGATGATATAATTCTCTCTGTCTTTCGTTGGTAAATCAAATTGTACTGGATTTATAGAAACGACAGTTCAAAAAAGATGATATAATCACGTTGAAATTTGTTAGTACGAGGATACCTTACAGCCAAAATTTGCAATGTTTTCTGTTGAAATTTCTCGGACTGAAAATATGCAAAGCCAGATTTTTTTAAAATTTGTATAAACATTCACACTAAGAATTTCAGAAGGGTATAACTCTGAACGTATATTCATATATATATGGGTTGTTGGGTATTTTCAAAGCCTCTTGAGGCCGTTGGTCAATGGATTACAGAGGCCGTATGATGAGTTTTGAGGGCTCAATTTTCATTTCCAAGGCCCGTCACCGCGTATGCCTATATCACGTTCGAAGGCCATTACAGTAGTTTTTCGGTTCCTTTTGTTTAGGATTCTGACATTTCAAAGTTTGAAAAATTACACCATAAACATTATGCTGGCGTTATCAGAACTATTTTACAATGTGTCAAACGTTAAATAATGGCTATCGTGGAAGATGGTTGAGTAATTGAGTAGAGATCAATAATCAATCAATCGGTTAATGGTGGATAACTCCAATCGTGTCATGATCTGCAGGACACGTACGTTTATTTACTATGGTTCAAGATTAATGCTTTTCAGATAGAACATTTTGTCACTTACCAGTTTTATCAGGCAGTACATTACATTGGGAGTTCTCCTTATTTGCTTCGGTAGTGGTTCCTTCTAAAATTAAATTTAACGAACTTCTTGTTTGCTCTTTCCGTTACCATAGAAACGAATGTCATGTCTAACAATATGTGATCTACTCTTATAATATGCTTCCAAAATTTATTTGAAAATGAAAATGAAATAAATGGAGTTTTACGTCCTACTTTTCTGCACCTAACTGGCCTAATGAAAGCGGACAACGCCATGTATAGTGGGAAATTTTTGCAAAGACAGACTTCTCTTTTTCAATTTCCAACTTCGAGGGATGTTATACGTATAGGACTTTGTTTATTGTCCCATCTGTACGACTAGACGCTTTTTTCATGTCACCCGACATACATCAATGACAGGGGTAACCGGGTTGAAAAATCAGAAGGAATCATCTCGACCTATTCCGATATTGAATCCAGGACCTTCATGTTAGCGAGTAAGCGTCTAACTTACTGAGCCACCACGGCTCCCCAAACTATATTTGAAAAGAACCACATAACATAGAGTACCACATTAAACCAAAAACGACAGGGTAATGCCTTCGTACCAAATAGTATATACGGGTCATCGGCAATCAGAACTATTTTGCAATTCGGTTTTACTATAAAGTCTTATATAAGAAATAATGGCTATCGCGGAAGATATTGAGCAAATATCAAAATGAGATTTATGGTGGCCAACTGCTATCGTGTCTCGGTCTATGAGCATACAGAGTGGATAATTTTTATGTTTGAAGTTAAGAATGGTTGTAACCTACCAATGCTATAAGTAGGTTCCTTTGATTTATCTTTATCTAAAATAAAATTTAACCAGTTTGTGTAATTTGCTCGCGGAGCAACGTTTACGTCCGAAAGGGGGCGAGATATCTGAGATTGCCCGAATTTCTAACCTTGTTATGAGATTTATGCACGAAAAATTTCGGTGCTGAGAAGAGGGGGGGGGGGGTGCTGGCGCTGCCGCCCCTTTGGCCCTGCCACTGCCAATACCTTGATTGTAACACTATTCTTGTATCACGTAATGTAGCAATTTGTTTTGGATTGTACGTAAGCAAATACAGCCAATCAAAGCCCTCAACTGTTTTCGCTTTACAACCCTATCAAATTGCTACATTTAGCAACTTCCGGATAAAACTCCCGTAATACAGGAATTGTGGTTATTGCAGTCAAGGTATAATACGAAGTTCGTAATAGCACGACATTGTGAAGATGGAAGACGGGCCTACAGTTGAATCTATAGCTATTTAAGGTGTTCAAGAATATTCAAATCTATGGTATGAGTATATAATGTCATAAATTATACCCTACACAATGAGGAGGTCGGCCTGCAATCAAGGTGTAAGCTTACCGGGATACGGTCTTATATGGTATGATAATGTGACTTACCGTCTGCCTCCATCTTTGAACAAGAGAAACCTAATTTGTCTGATATGACTTGCTTCTGTTTGTAACCTTCATTACATTCACAAACACTGTCAGCTTTCGGGGTACATTTTGACTTAAAAAAGGCTTGAGAAGGACAGTGAACGTGGGTACAATCAGTGCAATAACTATCTTTGTTGGTACCACTACTATAGGCACCAACAGCACATGGTTCACAAACTGCATGCTGGGTAGAAGTACATTTTGTTTTTACATACTTTCCCGGTCCACAATTACATTCTGCAAAATAAAAAAAAAATAATTGTGTCTGCGTCCAAAAGGATCAGCGCATGTGGAAGGAATGAAGGGAAACATGCAGTCCTAGACCTATCGAGACTGGGGGTATATGTGCGTGACAGACTGACTTTATGGGGAACAGCTGTCTAGGTGCAGATTCAAAGTTCGTGAACTTCGAGAAAGTGCATAGGCGCATGGAGCGTCTGAGACGGTTTTCCCTTATTGAAAATAGACACATATTTCGGGGACAAAGCGCATAAACACTATATTTTTGATTTTTTGAAGAAAGGGGTTGGGGGTACGAACCATTTTGCGACAGACGTTGGATTTTCATTTTCATCAGTATTTTAGGTTGCTCAAATAAAGCTCTACGTTGTATAATATTCATTATCAACTATTTCAACCTTATGTTTTAAAAGGAATACTATGTCTTGGCCAATAAGAGCATATATTCATCAGTAGATATACCTGGTGTCATAAATAACATAACAGAATCCTTATATAATCCAATAAATCCAAAAAAACTTAGTAATTATCCATAAATATGCAATTAACTATTGAAAAACGCTTAATATTAAGAATAAGCGTTTTTAAATAACTACTTAGTTTTATGAATTTTCCAATTTTCCAGAGTTTCAAGGGATTCTGTTGTAACTTTATGACATCAGATAAGCTAACTGATGAATATATACTCATATTGACCATTCTTGAGAACTTCAATTTTATGTTCATTCTAAGACGTAGTATCACTTTAAAGATGACCCGAATTGTAGAAGTTTAAAAGCGCTACAAGTATTAATATTCTGCCAATAATTCCCCTTTTACAACTTCAAGGCATTACTTATTTTCGTTAATAAAACGAATGGAAAATAGGAAGTAAAACTCTGTTTAATTTCAAACAGAGAGAAAAGAGAAAAAGAAATATTTCGATCTGCATTATAAGCAGATTTGTTATTTGTCGACTAAGAACCGTAACTCTTACCAATTTCTCCGGATCGGCGAAATCTTCCCCATATACCCTGAAATGAAAATCCAAATACCCCTGGATATTTATACAATTACTAACCATTTCATCTAACTATGAAGGATTGGGCATATTCAAAAGGTGAGAAGAAACTTAGAGGGATAGTCGCATAAAATATACATTATTTTCAAGGTATTTGCTGGACAAGAGTTATTGATCAGGGGCTAAAAATCGAACGCGTTAAAAAAAAAATGAATTGAATGGAGTTTTACGTCCTATTTTTCTGCACCATACGGGCTAATGAGGACGTGCAACGCCTTGCGACGTACAATGAGGGAAATTTTGCTTTCCATAACAGTCCCTCTTTACCTGCATCACTGACAGGGGGTACCGGGTTGAAAAATCTAAGGTATTATCTCGACCTATGCCGGGATTGAATCCTAGACCTTCAGGTTAGCGTCTAAATCTCTGAGCCACCGCGGCTCCCTCGCAAAAAAACAACAAGGCAATAACTTTTATGAAAGAGGAAGAATGGAAACATTTACATTATCACAACTGTTTCAAAGAAAACATGAAAGATTTCTATATTATGATTTTTACTTATAAATATCAACTACGAAAGCCTTCCAGATATACCTAAAAAAATATTTTTATTTTTATTTTTCTGAATATATTTTGCACAGCCCGAGATGTAGGATTACTGATATCAGTAAAGATTTGGGCATATTTAAAGTGTTTGCAAAGACAAAATCGAACACGTTCCTAAAGACAAAAAAACCTAATATAGTTCAAGGCCGATATTAATATCATTTATCTAACTTCCCAATCTGATGACAAGGCAAATATTTATATAAATATATCCTTTTAAAATCCCTATTAAAAAGTATATAACTATGATAAACTTACTTTTTCATCGCCAGCTGACGAACCCTTAAAAAGGATCAGTAGGAGTGTTATGATAAGAAGTGCAGCAACAATTAGGCCTACTGCCTTCTGCTTATAGAAAATTGAATTCATATCTGAAAGACATGATAAGAAAAGTTCCATTAGAATAAAAGTATTAACAGGCATTAACTTGACTTACAGATGGGTTTCAAAATGCAAAATCCGTCAGGAAACACAGACGGGTGGACGTACGGACATGGACATAAGCTCCACAATTCATGTGGAATTTTATTTGGGACAGATGACCCAGACGGAAACACCAACCACAGAAATGGGGAAGCTATGAGAAGATAGAAAACTAGAACTAAATTGGTCCGAGTTTCCTACCTCTGCAGAGATACTGCACATTGAGACAGACAGTCTGAACTCCACCAGAGAGGGCCGATAAAATGGTTAATTATGTAAAGGGAGAGAACAAGCAAATACTATTATTATTGTGGTCTGAATCAGGTCAAAGGTCACTTCCGTTCCAGCGCCATCTCAGCAGCAGCACGAATTATTTTCTTATGAAAAATATTGGTTATTTTGATAAATTTACTCATTACAATTAATTATGATGGAGGAATCTTCATTAAAACAATACTTAAGACCGTCAACTCCTGGATCTACACTTCAGTTGAGTGAGTCAAATGCCATTAATGGTGTTCTTCATCCGTGTGGTCAGGCAATGAGCCTACACCAAGACATTCAAACTCTTCTTTCGAAAACCTGTCCCAATTTATATTCTGTGACACAAGTATGATTGAGTCGGAACCAAAACGGTCTTCTACCTCTGCACACAAATTAAGTGGCACCATTGCGACATTCAAAGTTCAAAACATCATTTGCTACAGTTATAATCACGACAACCTTGACGGAGCAGAATGTTCTTATTCAAAAGATGGCCGAGTTTGCCAAAAATTCAAGTTTGCCTTTTATGCGCTAAAAATGGGCTTAGCAGCAAACATCCTGAGCGCTTATGTGATCGATTTCGTGTCTAACCTCTACAATTGTTTCACTGAGCAACAACTTGTTTCTATTAATAATGGTGTTTCTTGTGCTTCCAATATGGAATTTAAAAAATATGAACCTGTTGCAGTCTTGCAGAGTTTCGGGACTGTGCCGGTCGTGAGCATCCATCTGTCTATGAGCATAGCGCAGAAACTGAGCATAAATTTTGTGAGCAAAATGATTTAGAGTGTTACAGACAAAATGAGCGGAATACCTTTGAGCAATCTGAGCTATCAGCGGCTGAACAATTGCTTGACACCTCCGAAGCCCAGTCCATTCAAATACATAACGAGCAACCTCCCTGTACTCCGAATGGGGTTAATTGTGAGCAAACTGCTTTTAGTGATTTTCAACATTTTCATTCTTCTGTGTGGATACATGAGCCGCCTTCACTTAGTTTTTCACATTACATGGACGTAGAGCAATACTAAAGTCTTACAATTTGCTACTTATAATTACCTTGGCGCCAGGATTCCAGTACCCACTGGTCTGAATATTAATCAATGGAGACACTTACTCAGATAACCAAGTGTGCGAGTTCTTGGAATTTGGATGGCCTATTAACTTTTCATACCCAGAGATCAGCTTATGCTCCAGGCACATTAAACAACATACGTTCTCATTAGAAGGCCTACCTCACATTTTGTGCTTATTTCTATTATAACTATTGTCCCAGCTACACCACGCCTTTTATCTTGCTTTATTCAAATTATGTCCAGAAAATGTCATTCCTATAATTATTATCTAGTTATTTTAAGTAGCATTAAGTTACTGCACAACTGTCAAGGTTACAGTCTCGAGCCTATACCAAGTATTTGGAAGTTCAAAATGTTTTTTCCGGTCTCCGCAGGACTGTTTGCATTCGAGCAGTGCAAAAACTTCCTATTACTCCTTTTATGTTACAGCACATGTCCATGCTTATCGAATTTGATGATGACTTTCAACTCACTTGTTTTACTATATTATTAGTAGCCTTTTTCTCTAACAACAATGATGGCCATTTTTTGCGTAGGCAGAATATCAGAATGTTTAGCAATGCCGCATTATTGAAAATTAATTCTTCTAAGACGGACACTTACCATGAAAAGGCTCACATTATTCCTTTGGATAAGAATCACAACCATTCCCTGTGTCCTTTTTCCGCACTAGTTCAAATGATAACTCGCATTCCTGCACCTTTAAGCGCGCCAGCCTTCGTTTATCCCAAACAAGGGTTGCTCTACCCAGTGACTTACACTATTTTGAATAGTTTTTTAAATACATTATTAATTCGTTTGGGTTATAATCCCAAGAAGTTCTCGATGCATAGCTTTCGTAGAGGTGGCTGCACATTTTTACATTCATTGGGAATAGATTTAGACTCCATACGTATTCATGGTAACTGGCGTTCATCTGCATACCAAACTTATATCAAACCCAATTATGTTCAGCAATTGGACTTAACACGACAAATGTTAAGTCATATACTGGGTTAAATACTTTAAGAGCAATATGTCTTGTTTGCTGCCTATTACTTCAACGCTCCATTCATTATACCTTAAGATTTATATTTCACCCTATTATTTTCTTTTTCTTATTGTGAAAGTAAAAGCTGCGATTTCCCAGAGATCTATATTCAAAATCGACCTTATAACGTTAGTCTTGTATAGAAATTACATCAGGTTTCTGTTGAAATTTCTCCGAAAATGCTAAGTAGGTCTGATCTTATTTTTTCAGAGGACTTTGTTCGGCCTTTATTAATACGAAAGTATGGTAAGTTAAATACTTGATTATTATGATTCCATATTTCCAAAATTTAATGCATATTAAGAGACCGATAGTGAAAAAATCAGAATTTGAAAAATAAACACTTTATTTTCTATGGTTGCCAATAACATAGGTCTATTTTATTTTCATTTCCTAAAACCAGGAAAAAGTCGATCAAAAAAATAAATGAATAAATAAAAAATCAATGCATGTTTCAAACTATTTTAAGGAAAAAAACCCTGATATTTTGCAACATCAGGACTTTTGAAAATAGACCATTTGAAATAAAAAGTAAAACATTGCTAAAAAAAAAAGATTCTGTCAAGAATTGCTATCATATGCCAGATAAGAGTCGA